GGGTTCTGTACTATAGGGAACTAAGTCAAATAATGGGTGCACTTTATTTTTATTTTATGTGCATTGGTATTTTGCCTGTGTGTGTGCTTGTATGAGGGTGTCAGATCTTGGAGTTACAGATAGTTGTGAGCTGCCATGTGGGTACTAGGAATTGAATCCAGGTCTTCTGGAAGAGCAGTCAATGACTGCTGGGCCATCTCTCTGGAACTCCCCCTTTTTTAAGACAAGGTTTCCCTGTGAAACTCTGGCTGTATTGTAACTCATTCTGTAGACCAGGCTGGCCTCGAACTCACATAGATCACCTGCCTCTGCCTCCTGAGTGCTAGGATTAAAGGTGTGCATCACCACAGCCTAGTGTGATTGTACTTTTAAGGAAGAGACACATTACATAAAGTTTTCATCACAGAGATGGACATGGAAAAAAAGACATTTGCCTTCTTCAAGACATAGAATTAAAAAAAGTAATACACAGAACATAAGAATAAAATCCACATGAATAAGCTTGCTGTAGATTTTTAGGATGCTGTCTCCAAATATGTTCAAAATGAGGACACATTTCCCAATCATAAGCATAAATGAGGATGTGGGCCTAGTGTTTGCCTGGAGAATCGGATGAAATAGAGCTAAAGACTAGATGTTTTCCATCGAGTTTTAGATAGTACCGACTAAGACGTGACTAGTGACTGCATGCCTGAACGGTTTAACTTTACATTTAAAGAACTCAGAAGGCATAAGACACCTCATTGGATGCTACACTATTTTAGTGTATTTCCTGATGTCAGAAGTGTGACTAGTAAATATTTTTATTATAAATCAAACTTACATTTCATGTTTACAGTCTCCATCTTCATAGGGCTGAATAGACTTTCTGGAAGGTGAAAGCTGTAGATTTTCCATGCTATATCAAACTAAGAACTAGATATGATTTCCCTGTTTTGGCTTTTGTATTATATAAAAAACTAGCTCACACTTTAGTTATTATATGTTAAATAAAAACTACTGAAGTCCACGTGCGTGGACCAAACTATGGATTAGATAGCAATCTTCCCATTGAGAATTGTTTGAGATTTGCTAAGGATGAGGGAGAAAAGCTATGTATAGTTCAGAAAGAGAATTGAAATGTCAGCTGAAATTGTATTATGTTATATACACGCACATCTTCACATAAGAAATTGTAGCAGTAAAAAAAAAAACAGTGAAATGGTCAAGAAAGTAGTGATGGTCTGAAGTTATTGGGTTACATCTTTGCTGAATTCATCACTTACTCATAACAGTCAGGGATATTATGCAGGTTATTGCATAGTGTCCATAAATTAAATTGAACTACTGCTGTATCTAGTATCATCACATTCTTTAAAAACAATTGATAGAGATATTTATGCAAAAATGTAGACTCTTACTAATATCAGAGAAAAAATTAAAATGCCTATATAGATTGCTATATGGGTCAGATTATGATTACAGTGCATGCCATTTTGGCAATATTAATCTAAATATAGCTTATCATAAACATGTGTCTACCTAGATATTTTCCTTACTTTTCTCCCTACATTATCAAACTGTGTTAGAACACATTTCTCTGGTTTTGGACAGAGTGTTGCAACATGGTATGGTCTTGCTTGGTAGTTCAGACTGGCCTCAAACTCACTGTGTAACCCGTACTGGCCTTGAACTCTGGGCAATCCTTCTGCTTCGTTCTCCTTACTGGATTCAAGGAGTGTGCCACCAGCATTTTATAGGTGTCCCAGGTTTCATATTCTTTTAAAAGTCCTCCCTCTACCATACAAACAAGAAGAAAGTAGTGACAGTTAATTGGGGACAGTAGTGAACTGTAGTTGTTTACTAGACATCAAAATTTAAATCTGATTCTTCAACATAGCTCATTCACTCCCAAAAAACCCTGCTAATTGACTCTGTCGTGTAACGCAATAAGCTAAATTAAGTAAAAATGTTTTGCAATTCTACAGTCCCGCATAAACAAGCGTTAGCCACACTTGAAAAGAGTAGGAATTCGTAGCTACTTCTGTAACAGCTTCTAGAACATTCCCCTAGCAGACCCAAATAACAAAGCTGAAGACAGCGTTTTAAACTGATTGCTTCAAAGCCTACAGTATTAGAACGGAGCAGAGCACACGCTGGGGTCAACACCTGCCTTTCACGGTGTCATCAAAACAGGATTTCCTGGAAGCACCCTCAGCAAGATTACTTTTGTAGTGGCATGTCTTATTTGACTGAATTAAGGCAAATCATTTTTAAAAATATGGTAAAAGTTTAATTCTAGTAAATCTAGAAACTACTGGAACTAGGTTAGTAACACTTGTGTTTTCTTTGGCAAACTTACCAGACCCATTAAAAACAAGTGATCAGCCATGGAAATGTCTTTTCTCTTGAGAAAAGCAGAAAACCATATTGTTAAATTCAGAAACACAAAATTCCGAATTAGATAATTTATATATTATTCAATTTCTCTTTTTCTAAGTTCTTGACCCAAATGATTCATTTATTCATTGAGTGTACACTTTAAAATGTCACCAATTTGGAATTTAATATATACTCTATTTCCATTCTGCCCAAACCAGCTTCTTAAAAAAATTGTCTAATGTTATTTGAGACATCATTAACATACCTATTTCAATTTTTAAATAATTGTGTATGTACTGAAGTCTTAAATAAAAACCTTGATAAAAGTTGGCAGATAAAACTCGCTTTTGGAAGTTGGCAAACTCCAATTCAAAATAATACGTAGCTTATGTTTAGTAATAATTTGCTTCTAAATTTTTAATTTTAATTCCATTAAATTTTCTGCTATAAGTAATATATTTAATTTGTGCCTAAGTCATGCATATTGTTTTTGCATACTGGTGTTCCAAAATACGTTTTAATGTCTTTAAAATGGTACTCTGGTTGCAGACTTATAAAACAAAGCATGCAATAACTCAAATTCCCACAGCTTGGAAACAGGAATGCATTTCTACATTGTATTAACTTATTTTTTCAGTATACCCATGGAATGCCTTCCTATACTTGGATATTATTACCACTGTGGCTTCCTGACTCCTCCTTCAATAATGGTGTTAATTCTTTTTCTGAAGTTATTGATGGAGCTGCAGTGAGACAATTATCGTGTATCCAAAAGCAGCTAAAGGCTGCTTTTGAATTTGGCAGGCTCGATCAACCACAATCCTAAGAAAGTTAATCTTGTCATCACAAGACTTAGTTTGGTTTTTAAAGTTACATATATATTATTTTGGCAAATTCCACATATTTGACCTACTTTTCTCCTTAATTACAAAGTTCAAAGAATACTACCTTCACTATCTCTCATGTTTAATTTTCAATCTCATACATTTTGTCTGCTTTTTTCCCCCCATGATAAAGGTTTATTTTCCTCTCATCTCTTTGAATGCTAAAAGGACTGTACCTGTCAGTAATCACAGGTGTGTTCCAACATTGCCACCTCCTCCTCCTCCTCCTTTTAAATCAAAGCTACTCCTCTTACACACATATGACACAACCACCTCAAATTTCCTGAGTTCAAAGTCCGCATCAGCTGCCAAGCAACTTTTCTTGAGTCTGAAGTACATCCCAGGCCATGGCTCGAGTGGGTAACTGAAAACTTCACGTAACTTTTCTACTTCCCCATAGAACATGTACTAGGTCTAAATCAGGATATGCCTGATTAATTACAATAGATTGGGAGGAAGAATGCACATTTAGGTGTGTACTGACCCTACTGTCTATCAGCTGTGTTACTGTTACCTGCAAACTGGCCACACCCTTAGACATTTAGCTCACTCTTCTGAAGGACCAGGATGGCTGTCTGGCCTTCAAGTTTATTAAACAGTTCAAAGTCTCGAAAGAGGGCAAGTACCTCTGAGGCATGCTTTGCCAAGGAATCTAACATAATTTGCTGTCTTGTCTCACATTACACATAAATAAAACAATTTCTTACTATTATAAGTTATTCTCATCTCAATTATGTTGATATTTATGTTTTATTTACATAATGTTCAAGAACAGCCCATCATAGCTTTTGAAAATTTGCCTTTAGTTTGACTTCAAGCAAAAATTCATGGTAAATTTGTAGGCTGTGAAATATATTATAAATACATATACACATATCTTATCATGAAAAGATCATTCACTGCAGCTTGACATTGACATAACTTAAAACAATAACGAAATTTAAATCTTGTTTTGGGTTTTGCTGATTCTAAATAAAAGAGTTTAACTGTTTGTTAAGTTTTGGGTTTGAAACCCCAAATATTAGGATACAAATGAGTTGAGACACTTAAAAAAAAAAAGACTTCAACTTTAAAAAGTTAGAGAAAGGCAAGAAACCTGGATCTGAAAAAAGCCTTCCTTATTCCTACGTTACTGGGCTATGAGCGAGCATTCCTGGCTCTTCCCAGAGGAAATCTGTCCGGCCAGATGATTAAAAAGGAAGTCCATGCCACAAGAAGAATTATACTTCCTGACCTACCTCGATGGATGTCTAGCTGGTCTGTGTGAATTAACAAGTTGTGTGTGGCCAGGCTGGCACGCAGCAAAAGTGACAATTACCTTTTTGGTGTTATTCTGGCCCTGCCTCATCCACATAAGAACTGTCAATTTCTCCATTTAACTAAAAACAATCTCACCTGGGAGAAGGCCCTGAGAATGCTTAGCTCCTTCCACAGTCCCCAAAGTACTAACAACTGTAAATAAAACAGCAGGGAATTCACCTCGTTTTATGTAGAGTAGGTATCAAACTTAAAAAGCACATCAAGTCCTAGAGTTGCACAGATCCCTCATCTGGGACGGGCAAATCTTGCCCCGGGCTCTTGACCTGAAAATTGACTGCCCTGAGCCTGCCCATGCCTCCAGTACACACTTTCCCAAAACTTTAGAAACCAAAGACACTGCAGACACAAACAGCACACAGGAACCACCAGATCCGGGGTGAAACCTGACCTCTCAGTGAGGACTCCGGGAAGAAGAAAAGATCAGAGGAGACCAGCTCTGCGGGGGTCTTCCTGGGGAGACCCTGGAATGAACGTATTTATTTTCACGCTGCAACTGCTGATCGCTTTACAGAAACATACCATGCTGTAGCTCTGCGTGGAGCTGAGAACAACAGAAACATTTATTAATGTTATAATTATAATTACTCTTTAACAAAGCTATTATTAAATAACCTGTACAAAGCCCGAATCGGGCCTAGCGAAAACTCAAGCCCTGTTTTGAATCTCCCAGGGCCCTTCCATTTTTCATCAGCAGCGATTCCTACAAAGCAAAGCCAGCCCGGGGTTAGAATCCCCGACTGTAGTAGGTCTTCCAGGCAGGCGATGGCTCGGACTTTGGAACCGTCCTGGGATAACTTAGGGTTCTCGATCATGATCCAGTTCCCAGCCCAGCCCTGCCCTGCCCTGCCCTCTGCTCTAGGGCCGGGCAGCAGGGCTTCGGTACGGGAGGAGGACAATAAAAAGTTGGTTTTTAAAGTTTCCTCTCTGCCAGCAGCCTCGATGGTCTGCCCCGGGCCTGCTCGCAAAGGTGCTGGGAAGGATGTCCTGGGCGGGGAGGGTGGCCTGCGAAGTGCCCGGGTGCGCTCATAGGTCCCGCGGGTTCTCCCGCTTCACCCCGGCCTCGGCGACTTTGAGCTTCTTATTTTGGTGCGTCTTCACGTGCTTAGCGAGGTGGTCGCTGCGCATGAAGCGTTTGCCGCACTCGGGGCAGGCGAAGCGCTTCTCGCCCGTGTGAGTCCGCAGGTGCCGCTGCAGCTCGTCCGAGCGCGTGAAGCTCTTGCCGCAGAAGAGCCAGTTGCACACGAAGGGCCGCTCGCCCGTGTGCCAGCGCAGGTGCGCCTTCAGGTGCGACGTCTTGCCGTACACCTTGCCGCAGCCTGGCACGTGGCACACGTGTTGCTTCTTTTTGCCCGGCTCCGCCTCGGGGGCGCCGCCAGCCGCCTGGCAGTTGGGGCAGCGGCAGCGGCGGCACCTCCTGGCCGTGGCCGCCAGGGGGGCCTTGGTCTGCAGTAGCGCGGCGATCTGGCTCTGGTACTGCGCAAAGTCCGACGGGCCCAACACCAGGCCCCGTTGCAGGGCAGCGGCGGCCGCTGCAGCAGCCGCAGCCGAGGCGGGAAAGCGGGGAGCGTGGGGGGCCCCGGCACAGGCGCTGGAGAGGCTAGTCCCAGGAACCCCGGAGCCTCCGGGCCCCGCGCCCGATTGCGGGATGCTCCACCAGGGGAGGTCGTCCGGGGCTGGGGCGGGGGACAGCTGACGGCAGGTGGGCGGTGGAGGTGGAGGTGGCGGCGGGGGCAGCAGGTTGGAGTAGCCCGGGGGCAGCGCGGCCTGTGCGGCGTAGGGCACGTAGGCGGGCGCGCAGCTGGCAGGCAGAGCCGCCATGCTCGAGGGCAGCATCTTGACCGGCGAGAACTCGTAAGGGTACGAGGGATCGGCGGGGGGCGTGAGTGGGAGCTCGTGCGCAGCCCCGAAGGACGGCTGCAGGTGTGTTTTCTGTGGCGTCAGCCCCAGGCTGGGATGTGGGGGAGGCAGGGCGCCTGGCGAGTGCGCGGGCATGTCGGCGGTCCACGGGTGGAAAAGCCTGGAGGGTGAGCCCAGCGCTGGGTCGTAGGGCACCTGCAGGAAGTCGGGTGCCGCCGCCGCGCCGGGCTGGCCGATCCGGCTACAGGTGGCGGCCAGCAGCGCCAGCGGCGAGTGCTTGCCTAGGTCCGGGGAGGCGCTGGGGGTGCGGTCCTGCATGGGCGGCGGCGAGGGAGGGCGGAAGAGACAAAAGGTTAGCGTTCCAAACGCCGATTCTGGGCAGGCTCGCCACCCCCACTATTATACCCCTGCCCCTCCTCCGCCGGGCCGTCCCTCCCCCAGACCTCACCGCACCCCACGCGCGCACCCAGCGGTCCCGGGAAACTTTCAGCGCTCCCGCTACCTGAACCCCCCGGTGCGCGGTCGCTTTTTGCTAAACTACTTGGCTCATAGAGACGCCAATCAGCTTTGAAGGTAGGTGCAAAGGAAGAGGCAGAGGGACCAGCGGGTCAGGAAGAGCCTGGGAACACCCACGGTCGAGCTGTGGGGTCGTCAGCGCTAGCATTTTATAAGCGCTTTTCCTTGCAGCCACCGCGTTCCTCTTTGGCCTATCCTGGGCTAAAGTCAGCAAAAGAGTCCAGCAAGGTGAACCCAGGCCCCGTTTTCTGCCACTCTGACATCCACATACCTCCCCAATCCGTGCATCCCTCCCCAAAGGCCACACACACACACACACACACACACACACACACACACACACACACACACCAGGTTAGTTGTCAAGTTGGCATGGATGCATCTAGGTCTGCCTCCAGTGGCACCCTTAAGCGGGAGGTCCTTTTGAGATTCAAGGTGCTCAAAGTACCCGCACAGATCCCGACTCCAGATTCCCACCTGCTCCCGCCCTCTCCCGGCCCGGCCCTGACCTGGAGGAAGGCCTGCAGAGAGTCGTTCCGGAGGACAGCCACAGCGGCCATGGCTACTTCTTGGAGGCCGCTCGATGTGGAGCGGGACGCGGCCGCCGAGGCATGGACACCCGAAGGCGAGGACGAGCGGCCGCCCAGCGTGCCTCCGAGTCCTCCCCGCCCGCGCCCCGCTCGCTCGCCCCGCGCGCGGTCTGAGCGCTTCAGGATCACCTCCAAGAATTTGATAAGGGCTTTGCTGGGCCGCCAGCCAGTCAGAGGAAAGATTTATGGCTTTGAAGTTTGCCGCTACCCAATCATCAAAGAATAGCGGCTCTTTCAGAAGCGAAAGCAAATCCTTTGAATCCACAAAGCTCCTATGGTGTGTTTGTTGGTCTGGATAAAAGAACTGATTATTAGGGGGGATGGGAAGGGAGGAGATAAAGGCGGGACAATTAATGAAGTAATCACTATGTGGGAAATGTATATACACAAATAATTGGATTTTCCTGATCAAAGGGGGCCTTGCCGCCTGGAGACTCGCGCTTGGGTTGCTCGGGACACTCGATCCCCCACCCCCACTTGCAATTAAAGATTTGCACCACGGCAGCGCGCAAAGTGACAAAGTGTCTTTGTTATCTCTAGAAAAAAAAAAAAATCTGCCTTCAGCTTTCAGGAGCGGTACTTTGAGACTGGGCTGAGGGTAACTTCCCGGTACTTACTCCGCACCCTCACGTCGCCGTCCAGAGTGAGCTCCTGGGGCGGGGCGTGGGACTGACCAAACCCTGCCGGCCGCGTGTCCCACCCCCTGGCCGCCCGCGGAGGCGCAGGCAGCTCTGTGACCCTGGGCAGGGCTGGGCGGCCTCCCAGGGCGGCAGTGGGTGGCGCACACACTCCAAGCCCTCCCGCTTGACAAGCCGCAGAGTCCTCTTGGGGCTCCCACTGGTGACCTGGAAGTTTTCCTGGGGCTACAACTTTTGCAGAGGGAATCTAGGAAAAAAAAAAAAAAAAACCCGCACCGCGCTTACTGCTTCCTCCCACAACCGAGCTTGGCAGGACACCAGAACAACCCGGAACATACACTTGGGGCGGTGGGCTCCGGGGGTGTCGGCGGAGGGGGGTGAGGTTGGACTATACTTTCCCGACAAGCAGTTCTGCGTGTTGAGCAGGACCCGGCAAGCCTCCCACTTGTTAGGCTCCATCGGCTTGGGAGCTTCTCCGAAGTCCCCCTTTTCCCCATCCCACCTCACCCCATCTCCGTGGTTTAAGAACCCACAGATCACTGAGAGGAGGTCCCTGGAGGGGGAAGAAAAGTCAAAGCAAACTCTTGTTCCGGTCATCTTTGGAAAGTTCATCCACAGGAGCGCTTTGTCTCGGGCACCGAAGACCTCTCCAGGGGCTGTCCCCCTCAAAACTTCGTTGGAGTAGTCTACCCGTCTGGCAGGATCAGTCAGCCTCCTGCCTGCCTTCTGTCCAGGACCCTCCCCTACTAGTTTCGGGAGCCGAAAGGGATGGACTAGAGACTGGCAGGGCGACACGGGGCCTTCACCGCTTTGGGGGGTCTGGAGCCCCGTCAGAGACCCGGCAGTGGCAGTTTAGGTGACGGGCGCAGAGAAGTGGTTCGCCTGAGGCTGACTTAGCCTGATTCTTCTCCAGCCTCCGGGATCTTCAGTCTTCCAGGCCACCGGCCTCCCGGGAAGCCCCGAACCAGCTGAGCTTGCGTTGGGTGTTTATGCATCGTCCAGGGACCACCATGCGATCAGGACTGATGTTCCAGGATCCGGTGGCCTAACTCCCAAATTAGCGCCAGAGGTTAGCGGAACTCCTACCGTTTCAGACCCTGCACTGAGTATCGGTGCCCTTCACAAGTCCCTCAAGAGTCCTGACACTATGCCATTAAGAAGGCCCATATTCTCCCACGCTCTGGATGCGCCTTCGAAATGGAAATGACTAACAGGCCTCACATGCCCCCATACTAGCATCCCCTCCTTCTCCCCAACGAGGTGTCACTCGTGGACCAGTGAACAGTCACCTCACGGCTCAACCCACGCGGCCTTACTCCTCCTGAACACTAGTTTAGGGTGCTGTGCAAGCAGAAAGGGGAGATGACTCTGGTTTGCCCTGGTACCTGGTCGACCTGCTCCTTCCCATGTCCAGTTGCAAGGATCCAGCTCTGGAGAAACCTGGGACCAAAAGGAGACCTTTCTCAAGTGCGCATCTGAAGCCAGGGAGCTCGGCCAGGGCAACTTGGAAGGCTGTCTGTCTGGTTCCTCTCCCTTTCTGAGCCTTTTCCAACCTGTCTTTCCTGGAAGGAAGAAAAGCAATCTTCTTTGGCCAAATGTGTTAGCTATTTTACTAAAAAGGCAAGATGAGTCCATTTACACCCCAGTACTTATAAGAGATAACTTTTCCCGCTAACTTTTTAGGCTATTCAACTCCCACCACCGGCTGCTCGCAGGGCTGTTAAGCGCTAGAACTTTGAAGCCAGGTTTTCCAGCCTTGTCCCTGAGATCCCTGGTAAGTACGCCTCTGTTTGCCCATCTGTAAAATGTGCTGCCTCTGTACAGTGCTTGTGGGCTTAAAAGAGTAAGTACAAAATCTGCAGAACTGTGCTAGGTGCACACAGTACACTCTGGAGCGCCATAGTCGCCCCACTCCCGAGTTTGTTGAAAACAGTTTCAGCCCTCCCAGGGCCAACCAAGAGTTTGGAGAGAGACGTGGAAGAACTGCGCTTTATCTTCCCTCCCTTTGCGTGGAGCTCCAGAACGAAAGAAAGAAAGGGAATTTAAAAAAAAAAATCTTCCTAATGAAGTAATGTTCGGAGCGTCCATTAAAAATGCAGTGCAGGGAGATCAAAGCACAATATTTATTTTAGAAATTTGTTGCGATCACCAAGAGATCCAGGTATCAAGGCCAAATGTCAGTTCCGTTACACAAAGCCCCCGCGCGGGGCTAGAGCGCGTGGCTGCGGTACCGTCATGTAAAGAGACTTCAAAGACCAGGCGCGCTGCAAAAGTGCGCCGCCGCCGGGAGGGAGGCAGAGAGCCCGGGAGGGCCAGCGCGCCCCTAACGGCTCCGGGGCTGCGGGGCGGGGGTCAGTTCAAAGAGGTATCCGCGGGGGCGAGTTCACAGGAGGGAAGGTTTAATGGGCTTTCCTTTGTTGAGGAGTGTGTTTGTGCTGCGCGGACCCGGGAACTCCTATGCGTTCCTCACGCCTCGGGGTGGAGGTGGGGGAGCGGCGAAGTGGGAGCAAACTTTCACTGCGGCGGGGGGCGGGGAGCTTGAACACTAGTCTCCCCAGGCGGGCGGCTGGCGGGGCTGAGCGGTAATCCCAACTGCTCCCCGAGCAGCAGGGGGCCGAGACTGGGAAGTTTGCAGCCCCGTTTCTTCGCAGGCGGGCGGGCGGGCTGCAGGAGTCATCCGGGTGCAAAGGTGGGGAGATGAACCCACACCCGCACCCGCGCAGAGGGGCGGGCCTGCTCTGCTTTTGTCTTATTAACTCTGAGGTGTGGCTGTTTTGACCTGATACTTTCTGAGAGCTCTTACTTCCAGCTACCTACAGCCTAAATGCATCTGACAGTCACCCCTCTGTAATTTTTTCCTTTTCTTTTTTTGAAAAAAAAAAAAATCATATAATAAATATTGATTATGTTTTTCCTCCGCCCGCAGTTCTTCCCTTATCCCCCACCTCCCTACCCACCCAAATTCGTTTTTAATTTTTTTTCCCTTTCTCTCTTTCAAATTAGAAAGAAAAATCCATACACTATTTGGGTCATCTTAACACATTCTTATCTCATTGGTTTTTATAGCCCTCAAGTTTTCCCATCTGGGTCTGGCCTTGTCTCTTCAAGGCTCAACCTTCCAGTTGCCTGAATCTGCCTGGTTAGTAAAGGATCTGGGAAGGAGAAGGGATGGATTTTCCTGGGCTAATGGGCGCCAAGCCTCGGGAGGATGCCTGCGCACGGCCCGAGTCAGCCATTACAACCAAGCATTTTCTGAGCCATCCCTCAGCGGCCTTTTGAAGTCATGCTGCCTCAGAAAGCTGCTATTGTTCTCAGATCTCAACACGGAAGAGATCAAACTTTGCGTCTTCAGTTGAAACATTAGGGGGGAAAGTGGTTATGGTGTGGAGGGGATGCAGTCTCCTGATTAACCTTCAGGATTTGGAGCAGTCTAAGGTTTAAGGTGCAAAGCAAACCACAGATGCCCTAAAGCCTGGACAGAAAGAATGGCTCTTCGTTCTTAGTGTGGTGGGGTCAGTCGCAAGTGGCTGTCATACTGGGAGTCTGGTTTGGGGACCAGCCTTTCCCCTGAGGTTTTCCCTTCCACAGCTGAAGACGTTAACTTCCACTTGAAGCTTCCAAATGGAGTCAGTATGAAATAGGCAGAAAACTAGGAGAGAGGTTTCGGGGTTTTTGTTTTGTTTTGTTTTGTTTTTAATGTCACCGAATTCTGTTAGCATTTGCGTGACCTATTCATTCAAAGTGCTGTGAGTTCCAGAGATGTTTAATAACTGATCAGTGTTGTTGGGAGGTGGGCTGACATTGTGTGACAAACATCATCTGTGTAGTGAGTGATGGCCTCATGCCACAGAACACACAATGCAGAAGGAGCCCAGAGGAGAGCATAAGGGAAGTTTTTGATTTGCTCGAGGGGGACCAGGGAATCTTAAACTTCTTCTACTCACAAACCCCTTCCTCCCAAGAAATTGCCACGTGGTCCCAGGTATATATGTCTATAAAACAGGCATACAAACAAAACACTAATAATAAATCATAAAGTTATTTTAAGCTAATTTTCATTATTTTGCCACTTATTAAAGATGAAGTTGAACTTGTGTTCTAATGAGATAGATGTGCCATGGTTTGTGGGTCTCTGAGTTTGTTTTGCAAACAGGGTTTTACTGTGTAGCTCTGGCTGGCCTAGAACTCATACTGTAGGCCAGGCTGGCCTCAGACTCACAGAGATCCCCCTACCTCTGTCTCCCAAGTGCTGGGATTAAAATTGTGCACCATCATGCTTGGCTTGGTTCTTATTTTTACACAGGGAATTAGATCTTTGTTGTCCATTTGATACTGCAGGGCAGAAAGCATCCTGGATATTTTTCAGAGTTGAGTGATGTTTTGACACTATCAATGTCAACCCTGAGATTTCTACTTCAAATAAATATATAGCACAAAATGGAAGAAATGTGTTAGGGCTTTTCAGAAGTTGTTGGAAATGCCATCGTTAACCCTAAGGCAAAATTCACACACACACACACACGTATGTATGTATATGTATACGTATATATACATATACATACATATATATAATGAAACTCAAGCTGTCAATTCAACAATTTAAAAGTCAAACTTTTAACACAATATAATTAGGTATACAAATCTGGCACAAACACCAAGGAATGACAATATTAAGAAGGTCTCTGTTTTTCCTGATTATACCATTATGTGTCCGTGAGACTAGGGAACTTTGTGCAGTAAAATCACTGTAGTTCATCACATACAATAGTCTCAGACTTGACCTATGTTTCAAGCATCGTTCATTGGTATTGTGTGGTGTGACAACATGCTCAACTCAAAGTGTGTGTGTTGTGTGTTCTGAACCAAGGCTGCAGTTGCAAGCACGTGTCCTCAGTCTGCCAGAAACCCCTCAGATCCATCACACATTTGATTTTGAATTAGTTTTGGATCGCTGCACTTCCAAACCTTTCTACTGTTGCCAGTTTTGTTTGTAACCCCCACATTCAGTTATGTGACCCCCCCCCCATATGGAGTTGCAACTCAGTTTAAGAAGCTGGGATGTAGACAAGGCAGGACAGATTAGAGAAGTCAGGAGACTATGGAAAATTTCTTCTGGGCTCCAATGCAGTGATGCAGCATCTTGTCTGAAAGTTCCCCCTCCAGGAGGCCTGGCTTGGTAGAGAGCCTGGAAGGATCGGTTCAGAAACAGTTAGTTATTGGTATTGCATGGTTTGACAGTTAGTTAGGGATGAGATGAGGAAGGTTTGATGGGGAAACTGGTGAAAGTATGACTCTGCATTTTAAAGGAAACCCCAAACCCCAAAATTTGGGAATAGGTTAGAATAGAAAAAATAAAAACAGAGAGAAATAAAAGACTCCTGTTTTGAAGCAATGGTGCTAGGACAATTGGATATTCAAATGTAAAAGAATGACATTGGAGTCAATGAATAAAGAAACTGTGTAATGCAC